GAAATCCTCTCTCCATGTCTGCAGTTGCTCAGACTCATAGTTCAAGTTCAGAGATCCTTCAAAGCAACCATTTCTTTATCCCTCCTCTTGTCCCATGCATGGAGGCTCCCTCTCCTTCAGTACCACACTCCTGGCCCTGGGTAGGAAAAGCTTCTCTTCCAGGTGGGAGACACCTGCACAGCCCCCTTCTGTGTACCAAATGTCCACAAGTGCAGTCACCCAGGGCTTTATCACTTGAATTTTTCACACCCATTCTATCAGGCTATCCTGTCAAATCCATTATCTTGTATCATGGTTTCGGCAACCTGGTGATGTAGTATCATTAATCCCCTTTATATATAACAAGAAGTGAGTCTTAAGAGTCATAAAGAGATTTGCCACATGGCTAACAAGCAGGAAACATGGCCCTCTGTGACCACGATCAGTCCATTTTCCCACAATTCTCTCCTTTTGAAATCTTTTTGGAAAATCTATGCACATGAAATAAACTGTGCAGACATTTCTTTTCAGTGAAGTTCTGCCATAGACATGATCCCATGTAACTGGGCACCTGCCACTGAGCAGGTCAGGGAAAGAGCAGAGCAGCCAGAACCTGGACTTAGCATTGTCCCTTCCCTGTGTGTCCAGCATGCCTGTTCCTGCAGCTCTATGCATTGCAGTCCCACAACAGATGATAGGACCAGGGAGCTGGGAGATCTTCTCTGTCACTCTTAGGATGACCGATGACCCAAGAAACTGCTGAAGAGCAAGGAAAATAACATCCTAAGAATTTAGGCCTGCAGTGTGGATTCGGTCCATTGTGTTCTCCTACTTCTCTAACAAGCTCAGCTCTGCAGGAGTGCACATCCTGGACATGGATCATAAGCCAAGATTGTCAAACATTAACTAATATTATTTTTCTTTGATTAAAGGAGCCAGGAAGAGAGGCTGCCAATCTCTCCACCCCTGCCAGCTTTTTAGTCTCATCTCCCTGCTTAGTGAGAGCAGCGAGCTGCCCAAGGGCCAATTTGTTTCTTAGGGGAGTCGAAGCTCACACAAGAGGGAGGTAATTAGGCCTCCCCCTGGGCATCCCTAGAGGTACTTTTAAAAACTTTACTTTGGCAAGAGAGACTGAAAACTGTTCAGACTGGAAATCATCGGAGCCTCTTGTAATGTGGCGTGTTGAGTTAAGGCCAAGTTAATATTTAAGGGATTATAGAATGCTGGCAACGATTTCTGTAAAATTACTTCTGGAGTTAAAAGTGACAAATGGAAAAGAAATAACAACCCCCTGCATAAGCCCCACCTTCAGGCCCTGGGCTCCCAAGCCAGTACCCGCAGGGCAGGGATCCAGCAACACAGGCACCTTCACGTCCAGTTTTGTGCTGCATGTTTGTTTAGCTCCAAGGAAGGCCTTTGTTTTTTGAAGAAATTCTCCTTTCCTTTATTTTTATATTATATATTAAAAGGGAGAAGGAAGGAGCTGGAAATGTTTATTATGAGCCCAATTCTTTTATCCAACATTTCCTGACCTTCCAACCTACTGGCATCAAAATGTGTCCTACCTCCCCGCTGCAAAGCCCTGGGCCAGGCCTTAGTGGATTAAGGGTCTGTGGCAGAAAGTCCTCCTCAACCATCTTGCCTGGGCCACTCCTCAGTACCACCCCTTTTCCTGGCCTCTGGGCACCACAGACTCTGCATGACCACCGCAGGACGGTGTGTGTAGGAGAGCCCTGTGCCAGCCCTGCCCAAAGGCACCCAGCTCCAGGCAGAGGTTGCTTCTCACACTTTACAGCTCTTTCTCCTTTTTCTTATTTGCTCCCTTGCAGATTCCTCTCCCCTCCTCCTACTTCTCTCATTTTATATTTACCAGAATATAGTGTGCTGCCCTTCATCCCAGATAGGCCAAGAGAGGTGGCCCAAGCCTTCGGGCATCTGGTAGACCCCAGGAGGCAGGGCATCTGGTAGACCTCAGCAAATGTGGCTTCAGATGCCTTACTCCACAAACATTCAGGTGGCTAGCTGTGTGTGGCAAGCACTGTGCAGAGACTAGTAGACACAATGAGTAGCACAGGGCTCTGCCCACCAGGTCCCAAGGGTTTTCTTCAGTATGGCACTGCCAGATTTAATAAATATATAGAGAGCACACCTGAATTTCAGATAAAGAATAAATAATTTTTTAAGAATATTTTAGTAAAGTATAATGATTTTAGTATAGTATATTTTAGTATGTTTCAAAATATTAATGAATATTAATAAACCATAAAATGCATATATACATATAAATATGACAAAAGTATTAAGATACATGTATTTTTATTTTACAAAAATAAATATAAATAAATAGATACAGTAATACATACAATAAATATTTTAAGATGAAGAAATACATTTAAGCATATTTATTCTTTGCCTGATGCCCAGAGGTGACTATGTGTTTTGTATTTCACTCTAGCTGTACTCTGGAGGCAACCCCCTGTCCCTCAAGGGGTCAGTGTGTGCCTAGAGATAACCTATAACTTCTCTGGTGCCCCAAATCTGCTCAGAAGGAAGCTAACAGGCAATTGAGGATGAAGGGAGGCTGCTCCCAGCTACTAGCATCTGACTAGCATAGGCTCCAGCTCTTGGTAACCAGCACCTGATAAGAAGAGATGCAGGCAGGGAAGGGGACCCAGTGACATTCTCCCCAAAGCCTCATGCAGGCATTTTCCAGGGTCATCAGTTCCCTCCCAGGTATGGAGTCACACCTGTTAGGGACCACTGATGTTTTCTGCTCATATTAACACATGACTTATGAAGTTCTTGAGGGTCTGATGTCATAAAAACAGCCAACAACAGTGTTAAAATCCATCCCAGGCATGTTGTGTGCCTCATGCTGACCCAGTATTTGATATTCCCAGCAGCCTCTGGGTCAAGTACAGGTGATCATTACCCCATCACAGGTGGTGAAATTGTTATGGATAAAAAGCACTAGAGACTGAACCCAAGGCCTCATGCGTGCCAAGCATGTGCTCTACCCCAAGTTACATCCTCAGTGCAGAAACTTTTTTAAATTTTGTTAAAAGATTATAAAATTAAATTATATTGGGACATTTACTATAATCATACAAAATTTGAAATTTTTTGGAAGACAATGAAATTATTATATTGTTGTTATAGCCCAGAGCTTTATGGATAAAGAAAAGGATCATAAATTCATGAGAAATTATTGCTCTAAAAATTTATGCGTTTTGAAATGAAATATAGTATGTAAAATCATGTATATTATTATACCACAGATCATATAATGCTTAATATCTGACATAGAACCATTAAGATATACTGTGTGCTTTACAAATTTTTCAGTTTTAATGATCATAGCTAAGGAATCTCTTTTCATTTTGAAATAACTTCCTAGGAATCAGAAAAATATATTTGGTGACTATTTATGGACTAACATATACAAAAAATAAATAACTTGCTCCCAAATTTCTTAAGAGGATTCATTGACCTTTTAAAAATCAGCCTAGGTAATCACCATGGTTTGTACCATACCATCCACAGATGGCACTGCCTTGGTTTCATTTACAGTAGGAGTAGAGGTCCAGCTCCTGGAAGCCTCTGGGCAGAAGCTCTCAGAACTTTCCATCTGCCATGTGTCTTCTGCTTTAGCTTTCCCTAATCAGCAGTGCTGTTAAAAAAAAAAAAAAAAGTTTCTTTCTCACCTCACAGGTACTATGCCAGGTGTACTTTGCCCTTAGGAAAAAAAATAACCATATTTGAAAAAGTTAGGATGTCTCTATAATTCTGGGGTCCTCTTTTCTCAACATCTAGGAAAAGTACTAGAGAATCAAATAAATGCAAACAGACAAACCAAGGAAGACTTCAGGCCATCTTGCTGAATGCATTGCTAGGGTTTATTAGGTGAAAAATTAAACAAATGTCTGGTCTTTGTCTCGGGATCACTACTCCTAAGACGCCTGTACTCTCTGAAGCAATGCTTCTGTGTGCCCTGAGAGCACTGGTGGCTGCAGCCCTGGGCACTTCTATAGCAGGTGACCTCACAGGCCAGGCAAGACTTCAGGTGGGCACTATCAGCCCACCTCTGGGCTCTGCATATGTGGTGTCAGAGGTGTGGAGAACAAAGGCTGCTGACTTGACCCTTGCTCTTGTAAGGAAAGAATGAACTCATGTGTTCTGATTGACAGTTGATCCTTCAATAAAACTTGAAGCAGCTCCAGGCCACAGCTCCAGGCAGGCTCAATGTTAAGAGACAGGTAAAAGGGTTAGTCTCTGCTCAGAGCAGCAGAGAGCAGAGACTTGTTTCTGTAGCTAGTTTGCAGGCTCTTTCTGTCCAGCTAAGGTGTGTTTAGCCCTCAGAGGGCTCCAAGTCACACACATGTGACCCCGCTTCAAGGAGGCAATTTTAATGACCCACAGAGTGGTTTATGAACTCTGCTGTAAGACGCATTTGGAACTGTTAATGTCATCATGGGAAAATCCCCATTTCTTCACATCATAAAATCCAGAGAGACTTTTCTAGCTTAGAAGGTGAAAGAGTTACATTACTTTCCAGAAGATTAACAAAGCCGTGAGTTTAAGGAGCCTAGATGAAATTTTCTCATTCTACCAATTTTAGTACAAACATGTTGGCACATGGGAATTTCCACGACAATTCCTGGCATGAATTTCATACAAAAGCCTTACTTTTGGAGAATTTCTATTCATGGGAGATGCCCATTAAAAAAAAAAAAAAAAAAAAAACTGCGTTTTGTTCTCTGAATCCTTCAAGAAGCATTTCTAATACAGAGTTGACACCATCACTGATGTTTCTAAACTTCCTGAAGAATAAGCTCTCTAGAAGCAATTTCAAAGACCTAGAACCATAATAGGAATTTAATAAATATTTGATAAATGACTAATGAAAAAAAATGATCCAGCAAAGTTTTCAGTTCTGAATAAGAGGCTGTTAGACAGAGGGGATCACTGTTGGGAAGGGCACAGCTGACCAACATCTAATGCAATGGTTTCTGTTCCTTTAGCAGAAAAACCAGCACTGAAAATGGGTTCCCTGAGAAACCCGGAGAAGCCAAGCTCATGGGACCTGGAAACGAAGACCAGGACAAACTCCAAGTTAAAATCCAGGCTTTTGAAGACAAAAAGCTTGCTGAAGGTAGTGCCCTTGGCTCCATCAGAAGACACAGTTTGGGCCAAGTTTCTAAGGAAGAAAGAAAAAACATCAGATTTAATAGGTAAAAATTTCATTTGGTTAGTTTCTAAGTGTACACCTCATGTTTGGTATGGGTTACCTCTTTATGCTGTTCGGGGTACTTTTATGTCTCTTTGACCTATAGCCACACAAAGTTCTGTCCTCTCACGAATGCATATTATCCACAGTGGCCTCAGTATTCAGGAGGCTCACTATTTTAATTGAGCAAAATCAATGGAAGAAAAACCTATGGTTTGTTTATTTTTATAGTTGAATTTTTTAATTAATTTTTTTAATTTATATATGACAGCGGAATGCATTACAATTCTTATTACACATATAGAGCACAAATTTATTATATCTCAGGTTGAATACAAAGTATATTCAAACTAATTCATGTCTTCATACATGTACATTGGATAATGATGTCCATCACATTCCACCATCATTTCTAATCCCATGCCTCCTCCCTTTCCCTCCCAACCCTCTATCCTATCTAAAGTTTGTCTATTCCTCCCATGCTCCCCCTCTGTACCCCACTATGAATCAGCCTCCTTATATCAGAGAAAACATTCTGCATTTGATTTTTTAGGATTGGCTAACTTCACTTAGCATTATCTTCTCTACCTCCATCCATTTACCTGCAAATGCCATGATTTTCTTCTCTTTTATTGCTGAGTAATATTCCATTGTGTATATATGCCACATTTTTTATCCATTCATCTACTGAAGGGCATCTAGGTTGGTCCCACAGTTTAGCTATTGTGAATTGTGCTGCTATAAACATTGATGTGGCTGTGTCCCTGTAGTATGCTGTTTTTAAGTTCTTTGGGTATAGACCAGGGAGAGGAACAGCTGGATCAAATGGTGGTTCTGTTCCCAATTTTCCAAGGAATCTCTATGGAAAATGCCGTTCTGACTGGTGTGAGATGAAATTTTAGAGTGGTTTTGATTTGCATTTCTCTAATTGCTAGTGATGATGAACATTTTTTCATATATTGTTGACTGATTGATTGTGCTCTTCTGAGAAACGTCTGTTCAGGTCCTTGGCCCATTTATTGATTGGGTTATTTGGTTTGTTTTTTGTTTTGGGGGGTTTTTTAGTATTTAAGCTTTTTGAGTTCTTTATATACCTAGAGATTAATGCTCTATCTGATGTGTGAGGGGTAAAAAATTGCTCCCAAGATGTAGGCTCTCCATTCACCTCACAGATTGTTTCTTTTACTGAGAAGAAACTTTTCAGTTTGAATCCATCCCATTTATTGATTCTTGATTTTAATTTTTGTGCAAAAGAGTCTTTAAGGAAGTTGGGGCCTAATCCCACATGATGGAGATTAGGGCCTACTTTTTCTTCTATAGAAGCAGTGTCTCTGGTTTTATTTCTAGATCATTGATCTATTTTGAGTTGAGTTTTGTGCATGGTGAGAGATAGGGGCTTAATTTCTCTTTGTTGCATATGGATTTCCAGTTTTCTAAGCACCATTTGTTAAAGAGGCTATCTTTTCTCCAATGCATGTTTTTGGCACCTTTGTCTAATATAAGATAATTGTAGGGGCTGGGGATGTGGCTCAAGCAGTAGCATGCTCGCCTGGCATGCGTGTGGCCCGGGTTCGAGCCTCAGCACCACATACAAACAAAGATGTTGTGTACGCCAAAAACTGAAAAATAAATATTGAAATTCTCTCTCTCTCTCTCTCTCTCTCTCTCTCTCTCTCTCCCTCCCTCCCTCCCTCTCTCTCCCTCTCTCTCTCTCTAAAAAAAAAGATTTATTTAAAAAAAAAAGATAATTGCAATTTTGTGGGTTAGTCTCTGTGTCCTCTATTCTGTACCATTGGTCTACCAGTCTGCTTTGGTGCCAATACCATGCTGTTTTTGTTATTATTGCTCTGTAGTATAGTTTAAGGTCTGGTATAGTGATGCCACCTACTTCACTCTTCGTGCTAAGGATTGCTTTAGCTATTCTGGGTCTCTTATTTTTACAGATGAACTTCATGACTGCCTTTTCTGTTTCTATGAGGAATGTCATTGGGATTTTGATCAGAATTGCATTAAATCTGTATAGTGCTTTTGGTAGATTGGTCATTTTGATAATATTATTTCTGCCTATCCAAGAGCAAGGTAGATCTTTCCATCTTCTAAGGTCTTCTTTGATTTCTTTCTTTAAGGTTCTGTAGTTTTCATTATATAGATCTTTCACCTCTTTTATTAAGTTGATTCCCAAGTATTTTATTTATTTATTTTTAATTTTTGCAGCTGTTGTAAATGGGGTACTTTTCCTCATTTCTCTATCTGAGGATTTGTCACTGATATACAGAAATGCATTTGATTTAGGGTAATAATTTTATTTCCTGCTACATTGATGAATTCATTTGCTAATTCTAGAAGTTTTCTGGTGGAACTTTTTTGGTCTTCTAGGTATAGAATCATATCATCAGCAAATAGTGCCAATTTGAGTTCTTCTTTTCTTATGTGTATCCCTTTAATTTCTTTTTGTCTGTCTAATTGCTCTGGCCAGTTTTTCAAGAACTATGATAAATAGAAGTGGTGAAAGAGTGCATCCCTGGCTTGTTCCAGTTTTTTTTTAGAGGGAATGCCTTCAATTTTTCTCCATTTAGAATGATGTTGGCCTGGGGCTTAGCATAAGTAGCCTTTATGATGTTGAGGTATGTTCCTGTTATCCCTAGTCTTTCTAGTGTTTTGAACATGAAGGGGTGCTGTATTTTGTCAAATGCTTTTTCTGCATCTATTGAGATGATCATATAATTCTTATCTTTAAGTCTACTGATGTGATGAATTACATTTATTGATTTCCATATGTTGAACCAAACTTGCATCCCTGGGATGAATCCCACTTGATCATGGTGCATGATCTTTTTGATATGTTTTTGTATTCTATTTGCCAGAATTTTATTGAGAATTTTTGCATCTATGTTCATTAGAGATATTGGCCTGAAGTTTTCTTTCTTTGATGTATCTTTGCCTGGTTTGGGAATCAGGGTGATATTGGCCTCATAGAATTAGTTTGAAAGTGCTGCCTCTTTTTCTATTTCCTGAAATAAACTGAAGAGAATTGATATTAGTTCTTCTTTAAATGTCTTGTAGAACTCAGCTGTGTATCCATCTGGTCCTGGGCTTTTCTTGGTTGATGGGCTTCTGATGATGTCTTCTATTTCCTTGCTTGAAATTAATCTGTTTAAATTGTGTATATCATCCTGATTCAATTTGGGCATATCATATGACTCTAGAAATTTGTCAATGCCTTCAATATTTTCTATTTTATTGGAGTACAGTTTTCAAAATAATTTCCAATTATCTTCTGTATTTCTGTAATGTCTGACATGATATTTCCTTTTTCATCCCATATGTTAGTAATTTGAGTTTTCTCTCTCCTCTTCATTACCATGACTAAAGGTTTGTCAATTTTATTTATTTTCAAAGAACCAACTTTTTGTTTTATCAATTTTTTCAATTTTATTGATCTCAGCTCTGATTTTGATTATTTCCTTTCTTCTGCTTTTGGTATAGATTTGTTCTTCTTTTTCTAAGGCTTTGAGATGTAATGTTAAGTCATTTATTTGTTGACTTTTTCTGCTTTTAAGGAATGAACTCCATGCAATGAACTTTCCTCTTAGAACTACCTTCATAGTTTCCCAGAGATTTCAATAAGTTGTATCTGGTTTCTCATTCACCTCAAAAATTTTTTAATCACCTCCTTGATGTCTTCTGCAAACCCTTGTTCATTCAGTAGCATATCATTTAGTCTCCAGGTGTTAGAGTAGCTTTTTTTAAAGTATTTTCTACTTGTAGTTGGACACAATATCTTTATTTATTTTTATGTGGTGCTGAGGATCAAACCCAGTGCCTCATACGTGTAAGGAGGGCGCTCTACCACTGAGCTACAGCCCCAGCCCTAGGGTAGCTTTTATTTCTTATTTTATCATTGATTTCTTATTTTATTCCATTTTCATCTGATAGAATGTAGGATAGTATCTCTACTTTTTGTATTTGCTAAGAGCTACTTTGTGGCATAGTATATGGTCTATTTTAGAGAAGGATCCATGTGCTGCTGAGAAGAAAGTGTATTTGCTCATTGAAGGATGAAATATTCTATATATGTCAGTTAAGTCTAAGTTATTGATTGTATTATTGTGTTCTATAGTTTCTTTGTTCAGCTTTTGTTTGGAAGATCTATTCAGTGGTGAAAGAGGTGTGTTAAAGTCACTCAAAATTATTGTGTTGTGGTCTGTTTGACTCTTGAACTTGAGAAGAGTTTGTTTGATGAACGTAGATGCTCCATTGTTTGGGGTATATATATTTATAATTGTTAAGTCTTGTTGGTGTATGGTTCCCTTGAGTAGTATGTAGTGTCCTTCTTTATCCTTTTTGATTAATTTTAGCTTGAAGTGTACTTTATTTGATATAAGGATGGAAACCCCTGCTTGCTTTCACAGTCCATATGAGTGGTATGATTTTTCCCTTCAATCTATGGATGTCTTTTCCTATGAGATGAGTCTCTTTGAGACAGAATATTGTTGTGTCTCTTTTTTTTTTTTTTTTTGATCCAATCTGCTAATCTATGTTTTTTGATTGCTAAGTTTAGGCCATTAACATTTAGGGTTATTATTGAGACACGATATGTATTCCCAGCCAATTTCTGTTTATTTTTGGTATATAACATGACTTGGGTTCTTCTGTGATTAGATTTTTTAGTGTAATCCCGCCCTCTGCTGATTTTCATCATTGTTTTTCATTCCCTTTTCATGGAATATTTTGCTGAGGATGTTCTGTAGTGCAGACTTTCTAGTTGTAAATTCTTTTAACTTTTGTTGATCATGGAAGGTTTTTATTTCATCATCAAATCTAAAGCTCAATTTTGCTGGATATAAGATTCTTTGTTGGCATCAATATTCTTTCAGAGCTCGGTATATGTTGTTCCATGATCTTCTGGCCTTGAGGGTCTGGGTTGAAAAATCTGCTGAGATATGAATTTATCTCCCCCTATATGTGATCTGATTCCCCTCTCTTGCAGCTTTTAAGATTCTATCCTTATTCTGTATGCTAGGCATTTTCATTATAATGTGCCTTGGTGTAGATCTGTTGTAATTTTGTATATTGGTGTCCTGTAAGTTTCTTGTATTTGGTTTTCCAATTCATTCTTCATGGTTGGGAAATTTTATGCTATTATCTCATTGAAGAGATTGTACATTCCTTTGGTTTGAATCTCTGTGCCTTTCTCTACCTTAATAACTCTTGGATTTGGTTTTTTGATGCTGTCCCATAATTCTTGGATGTTCTGTTCATAGTTTCTAACTATCTTCACTGTGTGATCAACTTTATTTTCCAGATTATATACTTTGTCTTCATTATCTGACGTTCTTTCTTCCAAGCGATCTAGTCTGTTGGTTATGCTTTCTATTGAGTTTTTTATTTGATTTATTGTATCCTTCATTTCAAGGATTTCTGGGGTTTTTTTTGGTTTTTTTTAGAGTCTCTATCTCTTTCTTGAAGTAATCTTTTGCTACCTGTATTTGCTCTCTTATCTCATTGTTGGAATGATCAGTTTTTGCCTGTATTTGCTCATTTGGGTCATTCTTTAAGTCACAGATCATTTTAATTATGAACCCTCTGAACTCCTTCTCTGACATTTCATCAACGTCACTGTCCATGGTTCTCTTATTGTAGTGTCCTGGTTTGTTTGGGGCACTTTCCTCCCTTGTTTTTTCATGTTGTCTATGTGTCTTCCTTTCTTGTAGCATGGGTCTGAGATATTACAGTTTCTACCCTATATTCTTGTAATACCTGTGCCAGTTGTCTGTACCTCACCTTGATGTTGGGCTTCCAGGTCCTGCTGGTGTCCCTCAGTGTATGCTACTGCTACTAAAGGTGGTGGCAGCAATAGCTGAGGTAACTCGAGGTAATAGTTAAGGTGCCCCAAGATGGAAGCGATGTCTTACAGAGATGGGGCTGAAAGGGTGGGCCTCACAGTACCTTTGGGCTGCCTGCTCTGAGATGCAGCTGCTTCCAGGCCCTGTCTGTCGTCAAAAAGTTAGGGGCTACTGTGTGGGGAAGGCTATGGCAATGACTGCAGTGTCCCACGATGGAAGTGGGTTAGGCTTGGGCTCCCAGGTGTGTGTGTAGGGGGGGTGGGGGGGGAGACGACGAACTTGGACCTACCCTGGACCTGGGTCCCATGCAAGTCAGTGAGGACATATCTGGTCCAGGTCTGACCTCCTACGGTAGTCTGCTGGTCAGAAGAGGCAGTCCTGGTGCTGGAGGCTGGGCTCCAGCGGGTGTCTGCCGGTGATGGGGAGGACCCTGGCCTACTGTGCCTATGGTTTATCTTCTTAAAACACTTTTTAATATAGATTTGCCACACTGAGAACAGCTGTCAGTGGCTTCTCTTGATTTCTGGTGAAAAATCAAAAGTGACAGTAGAGATGAATAAAAGCATGAAAGTCCACCATTTTCCACCCACTTTTGCCATGAAATTGATTTTTAAACCTTAGTGTTTGGAGCTAGCTTAGATTTTCAGAGGCAAAATTGATTACATAACCTGATGCCTGTGGTTTTCCAAGCCTGTTCACTGTCCACACTCCAGAGGGCGCTACTTTTTGCCCCAGAGTTGTTCTTTACCTTGCCCAAGAGTGGCAACTCAACTTCTTTGACCATTTTAACTTTTATATCCTAGATCAAAAAGCTTGGCTTTCCACACTGCGCTCACCAGGGGTGTGAGTTCAGATGACGGGGAAGGAGAGGAGCCTGCAGGGATGCTCAGCAGCCTCTCCCTTTCAGAAATAGCCCCCTTCAGCCATGAATGTGGCAGGTCGCCCCCGAAGATGGACACCGTCAGGTCACAGCCAAGAAATTCCTCAGCTTCACACCCAAGTATTATACACATAGCACCTGAGGATTTGCCAGAAATGGTTAAGGAGGACTTCCAGGAGGAGACTTCAGAGACAACCAGGAGTCCTGAGGAATACCAAGACAAGCTCTACCTGCATCTGAAGGAGAACCTGGGTAAAGTGAAGGCCTACGCCACAGAAATCGCAAGAAAGATTCCAGTCCCTGACCAGTGCACCATAGAAGGTGAGTGCTCTGAACTGCCCAAACCTCAGAAAGGTCAGGAGTCACTGGAAAGCAGACAGAAACCTCCAATCGCACAAATTGCCAGAGCCTTTTATGGGTTTTCTGCAAAATTGATCATTTGGAAAACTCCTTTCATTGTTTTAATTACTTTTTTCCATCTTGTTGATTCCCATTTGAACCTACATAGATACAACTTTTTGCATATCTTTGTGACACATTGTGTGTGGCTTCCTGTTCCCAGCGTACAGAAAAACCCTATGAAAGAGTCTATGGCCTTAAAGCAGGCTCTGGGTAGGGCCGGGCTGCAGAATCCCACGTTGTGGGTGCAGGGAAGCTGTGCACAGCCCTGAGCGTGAGCTCCAGATTTTCCTTGCATTTCCTTCATTCATCTACTACTCAAGACACCGAATAGAAACCATCCTCCTGAGCTCTTGGAGATCAGAGTGAAGATGGTTAAAGGGGATCTCAGGGTAAGGGCTTGTGAGTGGGTGTGAGCTGGCCGGGAATCACAGGGCAGAGTAGACTGGGACCTGGGGCCATACCTCCCTCAGAAGCACAATGAATAACTCCACTGTGGTTCATTTTGTTCTGCAGATGATCTGTGTATCTAACACACACTCTGGGGATAATAGAGTGAGGTGCATTTCCATTGACTAGTTATGTGTTGAAGTTCAACCTAAAGTGTGAAAGTTTTTCTACAGTGAGTTTTAACCCACAGAAGGTGGAAGAAACCTTTCAGAGTTACTGCAAGCCCTGGGTGATCAAAAGCACACTTTCCTATGGCCTTGAATCATTTGAGGAGTTAAAATTAGTCTTAAAAGTCAACTAAGTGACTTGGATTTTTTTTTCCAAAATATTGAGCGAATCCATCCTCTTAAAGGGAAAAGTGGGATGTTTTCTTTTGATGGCGATGTTTTCCTTCAGGGATGACCTGGAACTGAGTGTGTATTGTTTCAAATTGATAGTTTGGAATTCATTCATACTTCTGCAATTTCCTGGGAAATTCCTTGCACAGGGATATGTGTGAGGGATGGAAGATTTATATGACTCACTGCTAATATATCCACCAAGAAAGGACCCTGCTGATTGCAGGGGACAGGTTGTTATTGTTTCAGAGATTGTGTAAACCACTCAGCAGTCACCAGCAGCCATCTGGCTGATATAGTTTTGCTGGCTGTTCTAAGATCATTTGGTACAACAATATTGCATTTCTGTCCTTAAAAAATTACAGAACAAAAAATCAGGCTTAGAAATGTTTATGCTAAACAATAGAAAAGAAATCTACTTAACCTTTTTTTCATGACTTATGCAAAGGAATCAAGAAACAAAATGAAAAAAGTATAAAAACCACTTCTACAACATTTAAAGTTAAACCAATAGCCAGCAGAAAATGTTAACACAGAAGAATAATTTTGAATCTGGGTTCCTAAGCCCATTCCCTAAGAATGTAAGAAAAAAAAATCTTTTAAAGAAATTCTTTTGGCATTAGTTTGATTCATATGAAAAAAACTGATATTTGATTTTTTGATTTATAAAAACATCAATTTTGTATGTTTCAACCTAATACTTCAGTAATAAATGATGTTGAAAGACTAGGAACCTCACGGGTCTCCATAGCAGAATTCAGTATGATGTGGACCAAGGCCACAAATAGCTTTCTTAACCCCAGTCAGCCATCTGTTGTTGCCTGATATTGATCGAGCTGGGGACAGACAGTGGGTCAGTGCATATCCATCATCTTGCTTGGAGAGGATGTCAAGCCCCAGGCCTCACTGAGCTGGGGTCAGCAATAGCATTTGGGGGTATGAAAGAGCCTGTGTTTCCCAGGTCAGAACCCCAGTTCTGAGCCTGGGGAGGCTGTGGGTGCAGGTCACCAACCACTGAGAGTCAGGTGTTCATAAGCAAACCATGGTCTAATGATATATTTATATACGAGACTGGAAGAATTGAGTTCATCTGTCATTGGCATTTGAATTAGGTATTCACTTATGTGAACAAAATATTTTCTAAAAAATCCACATGATATTAAAATAAGTCTTTGAAAATCTGGCCCATTGCTGGAGCTCTATAAAGGGTGATATAAAGTCTTATAAGAACCCATCCATGTTACTTTGGTTTGCTTTGAAGTATTTCTTGATGGGGTGAAAATACATCCCATCTGTTCAGGGGATCAGCAAGCCTCACTTGCATAAGCTAACTTTTAAGCTAGGAAGCTGGTCCTTGTTCTAATCCAGTCATGTGAACTGATTTTTCTTAAAATAAGATACAATTTGTTAAAAATATCAAGAACTGTTTTCATGCTTAATTACAAATGAAGCTCCCATTTTGAAAATTTGTGTGTGGTTGAGTCCCCGTCAGTTCTGGGATGGCAAAGGGGCATTACCCACCTGGTCCCTGCATCCTATGGTACAGCTGGTCTGATCTGGGGATGATCATGTTGCTTGTCCACTTAATGGTTCCAGAGAGGTTTATTTTTTAGTGTATTAATTTAATCACAGAATTAAGATCAGTTCTCTATGAAGAAAGTTACAAAATTTGAAGCCAGAGAAGAATTTGACAGCTTTCTCACAGAATTTTAGAGGGGAAAAATAGCCAATAAGAAGAAGTTATAATTTCCCCAGAGCCCCGTTTCTTTGAGGCGATCCACTGGGCCCTTTTTGAATGACACTCAATTGGGGAAATTTTTTTTCCAGAAAAGTCTTCTTGGTGCTTTGGAGCTTTTCTCAGATTAGATTACTCCCTAGTTCCCATTTCTCTGAAGAGCAGGTTTTAGTTAAAGGGGGTAAGATATCATGGTGCAGAGTTTTCTTTGCTTATTTGTTCAAAGAAAATCAAACTTTATTTTCAATTTTAAGAAGGTACTTTTGAAAGTATAATTAATGGGTAATAAAGTTATCTGATGTCTTGTATTGGAACTCTGTGACGTGTTAAGTTGTGGATTTAAATGCATTCCATCCTTATCAGTGATTTGTGGTCACGTGCCTGACCCTGCACCTACTCTTGCCTGAGACCCCAGAGGGCAGTAATCTGATATTAACTCATTAGAGGAATTTATAGAGTTCTTTTCAAAAGGATCTGGAGAGTTCTATTAGCCATGGCAACTGGATGTCTCTCACAGGCCACTTGCAGATACCTGGCACCTGAATATGTGTGGTAGGAAAAAAGCAGATGAGGGAAGCTCATCGTAAGTCACCTGATACGTACTTACCAGTGAGCTGAACACCTAGGACACATCCCAAAATCAAGTTGGTGAGCACAGGTACACTCAGGCACCCTGTGTGAAAATCCAGGAGGGGCTGTCCTCCTCCAGCTCATGCAAGGAGGCATCAAAACCTTGAAGTGGTCAGTTCTTCTAAAGCAGTATCTGTCTTGACTATGCCTCTGCTACCTAAAGGGACCTTGCTAACAGAGGGTGAGAGGCCAAAAGAAATACATAAATGGAGCAGAAGCATAAAGGGGTGATTTCTAAGATGTCTTACCCTGAAGATAGCCACACTAAAAGAAGGAGAAGGAGGGGCTTGCCAGAACGGGGTGGATTGCTATGCCGTACTTCATATTCTTAGCACTCTTCTAAATGAATTAAAATTAAAGGTCTTGTGGTGAGACACTCTCCTAACTGGAGTCAGTATTTTTGTCCACTGCAGGAAGCTCACACAGATTGTCGTCAGTCATTCCTTGTTCTCGTCCGCTCCACAGCACACCGTGATCCCCAGCCACTGAGGTCCTTGTTGCCACAGGCTGTGGCCCGGTGAAGTGAAGTTTCCATTTCCTTCCATTATGAGATGCAGCACAGGCCCTAGGGAACCAAAATAGCCACGGTCTCTGCTCCCAGCACCGGGAGGCTGAGGCAGAAGAATCCCAAGTTCAAGAACAGGCTCAGCAACTGAGCAAGGCCCTAAGCAATTTAGTGAGATCATGTCTCAAAATCAAAAAATAAAACAGTCTGGGGAGGTAGCTCAGTGGTTAAGTGCTCCTGGGTTCAATCCCTGGTACAAAAGGGGAAAAAAAGCAGTTGCAAAAGCTGGTATCTCAGAAGCTCTGAGCATGTGGTTCCATTTCTCAATTATAAGCTTAAGTAGAAATGACTTTTCACAGATGATCACTTAAGTTTTGATGTTTGAAAAAACACTGATCTAGGAAGTGATTTCTCCCCTGCATTGGTAGTGACAGTAGCAGGTGACTGTGTACCCTAAAAGACTCCGGGGTCTCAAGGCCCAAGGGCCTTGTCTTCAGTTCCTCTGGCACCTGCACACACAGGCCCTGGTGAGGGTGGACAGGCAAGGCTCCACCTGCCCCCCGAAGGGCCCTGCCTCCTCAAAACTAAGAACCTGGTGAGTGAAGGCTCCTTTTGATATCCTCTAGGTGTGCTCTGGAGACCTATTTGTGATGATGGAAGTTGTGTCATGCTCATTTACATGCTGAGAATCTGGTGTGACCCAGGCACTGTGCTGTGGGCCAGGGAGGTGGCTGTCCACAAAGTAGCATGGTCTCTGCTTTCATGGAGCTGACCCTGTGGAGCAAGGCATGAGTCACCACAGCACAAGATGCGTAGTTACAAAGATCAGTTATCCACAGGGATGGGGTGCGGTTCCATGAGGGCACATCCCATGGGATCTGACCTACACATGGCAGTCAGGGAGAACAGACCTTCCCCAGAGCAGGGGCATGAATCATAGGGAGAGGTGTAGGGCAGAGCCCTGGGTCAGAGAAGAGCCTTGCACAGGTCCCATAAATAGGAAGGGCACAGCGCATCCAGGAACTGAAAGCTGGCCCCCAAGGAGCACTTGAAACTCATTCTGTGGGATGAGAAGAACCAAGAATAAGAGAAGAAAATGCACAGCACAGTGTCAAATAGTGGAGGGGTTACAAAAGAGAACAGCCAGGGACAGAGGGATGGCGGGGGTGGGACAGCTGGCCAGGCGAGTAGCTGGGGAAGGGCTCTCCACCAAGACAATCTGGCAGTGAGGACCAGGATGAGAAGGGCCAAAAGGAACGGCAGG